TTTATTGATCTTTTACTTATTGTATTTTCTAATTTTACTCTTTACCTCTTCCTATACCATGAACTTTCTAAACTGACATTTCTTCCACTGTGGTGTTGATGGATTCTGTTATTGAAGTATTCTGGTTTGTTGGGGCAGTTTGTTTCCTTGCTTTTTCATATTGTTTGTGTGTCTACCCATGTAACAGTATGGGTAGAGTTTCTACTTTTTGGCTTATAGTGTCCCTGAAGATTTCCAGTAACTCAAAATTTAGGGATAGGTAAATAAATAACAACAACCTTTCTGTGACATCTACAATGCTAATTGTTACAATAAACAGAAATGATCTAATCAGTTATAATAGTAAAAAGGTTTACAATTTCAAATGCTGAATAGGGAGAGCACAGAAGAGATCTAAGATGTGATGATTATGAGGGAGAGGAGAGAAATATAAGTTAAAAACTAAAGGAAGAGTGAAACAAAAATAGAGTTTGTTAGCAGAGGAGAGAAAGAATCAAAGGAAACAGATAAGTGAGAGAAGAAATTGTGAAACAAAAAATTAAAAAAATAAAAGAATACGAAACAAAACTGAAATGTACTAATCAAATATCCCAGTCCTCAGTACTTAGTCATAAAAAATAACTGCCTTCAAAAAATGCTTGAAGTTAGAAAAAATTGACAACTATGTATGCATTAACATCACAATTAATGAAAAAAAACAAGAAAAATTTCCCCATGAAAAGTTAAAGAATTGTTTCCTTTGGAGTTCAAAAAATTCTCAGCTTCCCTTCTCCTCAGTGTTAGGTGTAGTGGGATAAAGTGTGACGTCTGCCCCACCCTCAGAGTGTGGTTGTTAGTGTATGAAAGTAGATCCTATAGGTGGAGCTTCTGGATGTGAAGTTTAGGCCTAGATAGGTTCTAGGTTCTTTGTTGAATAGCAATTGATTTTAAATTGGCACACCTCCAGGGCCCAGTAGTTGCCTGTCCACACTAGGAGACTATACTCCAGGAATCTCCCCTAGACCAGATGTGCAGTAGAAGAGCCAATCCTTTGTCCCCTCCATTACCCCTGGACCCCCGCGTTTCATGTTCATTCAGGTAGGTGCCTGACCCTTTCGAATTTCTGGCTGGTCTCCTCTCCCTGCTGGTATTGCAAGCAGCTAGATTGGAGGGGGAGGGCTTTTGGCCAGGTGGGTATCCATGACCTCTATTCCCCTGTATAAACCCCTTTCTGTGTTTGATTTTCTCCTAGTCACTTAGGCACACTCTATGTCATGCAGTGTGTGCTTGCCAGGCCTATATTTTGGGCCCAGCTTGGGTTCACCAGGTTCTGTTCACCCAGCTGTTGGGGGCTAGCAGCTTGGCTGCAAAATGGCTCCTTCCTCTGTCATCCATGGACAGCTGGGGGAGATGCACCTTCTTTCCTGCACAGTGATCTTGTGCAGCATGCCTTTCAGGTTAGTTCATCATTGTCTTAACCACAGGCCTCCTAAAAATGTGGGTTCTTTAATTCCTTTATCCATCCACTTTGCTCAAGCTTGGTAGTGGTGGGGGTGTTTTAGCTTGCCATGACGGTGGTGCTTGGGATTTCTTCTTTATTTTATAATATTCAGCTTCCTGAGTTCTCCATATGCTTTGAATGACCAGTATTAATTTCCAGAAAAGTCACTTATTTTTCCCACCCACCTGCTGAGAAGCTGCCTATTTGCTTTCTTGGTTTCACATCATGAAGCAGCCAGGAAAGTGACCTCTTCTATTTCTCCATCTTGAAACCCAACTATGATTATATACCATCTTTTCCAAATACCAAGTCCAACTATCGCCCAAACCAGGTACCTACCTGGATCCTGACTGGTTGGATTCATCTGCCTGCCTGTATCAGAAATAAGCAAATGATGTAAAAAGATAAAATAAATTTTATGCAGTTTGATCAAACTGGGGAAAAGTAGATAGATTGTTTTTTCCCAGGTCCTAAGATAATGGTTATAATTTATAGAAATATGTGTAAATTTAACTTGGCTATGTGAGACAGTGAATGTGTCAGTTGAAAACTTTCTGTTTTCCTTGGTACAGAAAGGGCCAGGGGGTATTTTTCAGTTTTCAGTCTCAGCTTGAGGAAGTTCAGGATGCAGAAAAGAACTTCAGGATGCAGAAAAGGGCTTATCAGGAAGTTGCTTTTTATTAATTTGCATGAATGCTCAAGTGCTACACAGAACTGACAATATTAATCTCAGTATCTAATCAGACTATAGGACAAAAACCAAGTTTATCTTTTAGATTTTAAATTCTGCACTTCGATGTTGGTAGGCATGCACATAGTTGATTCATGTGGAGTCTGCTCAAGTCCCCAGATTGTTATTTTTAAGGTAAACTACAATTAAACTAGCTTTACGTGTTACAAAAATCTTTGTCCTTATACCCAGTGCTGATCCAAATAATGAAGACAAGGTTTTGAAAAAAATGGAAAAGACATTTATTGATTTGCTTGAAAATGAGAAGAGTAGTAGACTAGTATCTCAAGAACTATTGTTCCCATTACAAGGGGGAAACAAAGGAGGTTTTACAGGGAAATTTGGGGACCAGGCTCAGGGGACCAAGCTCAGGATGTGCCTATCAGAAGATATGATTCCTATTCAGATGGTGGCTATTTTAGTCAGCTTTGCGTTGTTGTGGCCAAATACCCAAAAAGAACAATGTAAAAAGGGGGAAAGATTTATTTGGGGCTCACAATTTCAGAAGTCTCAGTCCATAGCTGGCTCACTCCTCATTCTGGACCCAAGTTGAAGCACACATCATGGTGGAAGGGCCCAGCAGAGGAAAGCTGCTTAGCTCATGGAGGGGTTAGGAAGCAGAGTAGGAAGCAAGGAAGGAGCCTCAGGTAAAAACCACCCTTGTGGGGTACACACCCAGTGACCCACCTAATCCAGCCATGCCCTGCCAGCCTGGTTACCATTCAGTCAATGCATTCAAACTAGGATGGACTGCTTATGTTATAGCTCTCACAGTCCATTCACTTGACCTGCAAATATTCCTGCATTAACACTGGAGCTTTTGGGGACAGCTGTTATCCAAATCATAGCAGTGGCCTTTAGATAGCCGACTGCTCAGACTTGGCACAGATACCTTTCTTCTTTTGATCAGTGAACTGAAGTGGATGGCCTGAAATGGGAAAAAACATTAATTTGAATCCTTGAGGTTTTGGGGGAGTGAAGAAGGAGAGGAGGAAGGGTTGGGGGCAGTACATGTTAGTTTTAAAATAAGCTACCAGAGGCCAAGCAGCTGGGTTCATACTCAAAGCATGAAGTTGACCCCCATTTCACACCTTCATTCCTTGTGTACTCCATTAAGCTTACTTGCAGCACTTCCCATACATTTTATCTGTATGTCCTTTCATTACTAGTTCTTCCATTATGTTTTGCTGGGTGCTAGGAGTAGAAAGATGAAAAAAGCAGAGCTCCTGAGCAATCCTCAGGAAGAAGTTGCTCATACAATTAATTATAACATGGAGTGCTAAAGGTTTCTTTGGTGGCTGTAATAGAAGGGTGGAGAGAGCTGCGATTCCTTGTTTGTTTTGTTTATGACTAGTATTTCTTGAGTGCTTATTCTGCCAGACATCATACTTTAAAAATGTTAAGTACCGCCCCTCAATTTTTTAAAAGCTTCCTTTTTAATAAAAATGCTATTTGTTTCTCAGAGTTTTATGCGATTCGAGAAATATGCCTTCTGTTGTTCACATAAGGAATTCCTTAAATTGGGGAGCAGAATAAAGTTAAACACAGGCCTGCCTTTAAGTTGACAATGTTCCCTTCATATGATTTATCAAAGTGATTTTCAGCCCCAAGGAAATAAAAGTTTACTGGCTAATGGTCTTTATTTTTCTTTCTACATTTCTGCTTTTTTTGAATAGGGAAAGAAGAACCCCCTTAGATTCTTAGTTGGAACAGACTTCTTGTTTTCAGATTAACACGAGAAAAATTGGAGCTTACTAACATCTATACTTCACATATACATGAGAGATATCCAGTCAATGAGTAATTCTCAGAGAGGTGCTTTTGAATTTAAGATACTATAGAATCTTCAACAAAGAACAGTGAATTTTTAAAGAATTAACAAGAGAAAAGAAAAGGCAGATAAAGGCTAGTTAGTAAGGCTTGTGAATAAAAGGTCTTCTGAGGCTTTCTCTAGGCTGCTGGTAAAACCTTTGTTCTCCTTGTGAGGGAGATGCAGGGTACTCTTTGTAAATCTCTGCCCTGCTTTTAGGCATTATAAGGAGAACAGAGATCTCTTGTACATCTGTTTCTTAATTGTCTTCAGCTAAGTAGGCCTTCATATTTTAGAGTGGCAAATTCAGGTCTCCCACAGCTGCATTGAATGTATTTAGCCTAAATTTATTTATTTTTTACTGTCTCTGTTGGATATGTAATCTGTTTTTTTCCCATTATAGTGTAAATTCTACTAAAATATTTTTCAAGCTTTTTCGAATCCAGGATTTCTTTGTTTATATTTCAAGGAGTTACTGAATGACTGTAAATATGCAGTATATTTGTAAGGTTCTTGACAAACTGACAGCTAACATTTGCTTTCTAGTAGGGTTTGTCAGTATAACTTCACATTAGCTTTATTAGGAAAATAAGAGGCTATTTTCTTTATGATAATTTCCTTCTGCTCTTTCATGGCCCTTATTTTTTTGAGCATGGTCTTGAGAAACTTTATTAAAGAGGCTTTGAAGAGACTCTTGTAAAGCAATAAAATAAAAAACCCAGAAAAAGGTCAGTTTTGTTAATGAGGCTATGGTTTGTATTTCATATGGTTCAAGCATGTTTTTTTTTTCATGGGAAATCATTATTAAAATTATCAAGGCAATTCCATATGTAAACTTTTACTTGAAGCATGAACTTAGCATTAGGAAAATGATGACCATAAGTAGAAGTTGGGGTTATCTAGTTGCTAAGCCAGAGAGCATTGTTGTGCATGTGCTGCCACACTGTGTCAGTAATGGAAATTACATTTTTATTTCACAGCTGCATGCCAAATTTGAGCACCTTAAAAGAATTCACCAAGAAGAAAGACTAAAACTTGAAGAAAGGAGAAGAGCTTTGGAAGAAGAAAGGATCCTTTTTTCTAAAAGGAAATCTAGCTGTGACATATTCCTGAACCAATCCTATATGGCATCGGGTAGTAACATAAAGAAGGACAAGGACCGTAAGAAGTAAGAGCCCCCACCACTCTGCATCTGTAGCCCTTCCCTCCTCTACTGTCTCCTGGCTCTGCTCCCTGCCCGCCCCCCCCCCCCGAAATTCCATACTGGGGATCAAACCTCCAGGGCCTTATGCAGTGCTAGGTAAGCATTCTAATACTGGGCCACACCCACAATCCTCCTGGTTCTACTTGATCTTCCTAATTCTAGTTCCTATTTACTTACTCTCTGCCTGCCTCCTGAAACTCAAACTGCTGCTCCTTAAGAGCCCAAGCACAGACCTTATCCTTCTCATTTACTTCTCTTTTCCCAAAGCTAGAACAGTACCTGGCACATACTAGGGGCTTTGTAAATATTTGGCAACTGAATGAACAAGATAAAAATATACATCATAGTAGAAAAGGGTCAGTTAGCTGGGAAAAAATTAGCTATTTCACAGCCCAGCTGTGCCCTTAGTATACAGGTAATGACTGTTGACCTACCATGAGTTATTTTGAGTTTTGTGTCTAAATTGAAATTCTGTACTTTGTTGGGGGAAAAAACCCTAATTCTTAGGCTCACTTTTCTTTTAACCAATCCTTTTGATTATTGATTTTGTGAGAATTTTTATTTTAATAAGGGACCCAGGCTATCGATTCGAACTCCTGTGCTTTGATGTCAGAACATGTGAAACCAATGATGGACGTAAAGATGCAGAGGAAGGTAGAGAGGGCCACAGTACAAGGGGGCGGCCATGAGTAGCAATTGGATGATAATCTCAAGCTTGTAGGTTTTGGTATGTGTTAAAATCAAAGTTACCAAAGTTTTAGAAAATAAGTTTTTTTTTCCCCCCTTTTTGATCTCCTTCTGTACTTTGTGTCCTTCATTTTATTTCTTCCACTTAAAATGTCCTTATCGGTTTACCTATTTGAATATAGTGAAATTCATGATTTGTTCTGTTCAGAATGCTCCTTTGGGGTCTTTGCCTCAGTTTACTCCAGCCATCTGTGCCCTAGCAAAGTCATGTCTTCCTATGATAGACCCAGAACAAGACTTAAATTTTCTCAATGCCTGTGTTTCTTGCAATTTTTTGTTGAAATAATGAATGTGATAGTATAATAGTGATATTTGATTCAAGCATTGGATTTCAAAAGATAGACTGATATTATAATATTATAATAGTACTGCTTTCCAACATATTTTTTAAAAATTATAAAGCTAAATAATATTTTGCTGTATCCTTGTATCTCAGATATTACTAAAATTAATTTGCCTTTCAAATTAAAGACCGCTTACATTTACATTGTAAAAACTGTCACCCTACTGCACTTGAAAACCATGCAGTTTGCAAAATCAGAACTGAATTCTTAGAGCTTAGTATCTATCCTCAAGAAATTATGGTTTGGTGGTTGTTTTTTGTTTTCTTTTTCAAAACGCTGTAGCTAAATATCCTGTAATATATTTTCTTTGTAAAATCTTTGTAAAACTAATGACTCTGGTAATTTTTACTTCCTGTATTGTTTTGTGTTGTACCAATCAAAAGTTTTTTTTCTCTTTCCAGTTCCAATTTTATGTAACACAGGAGTTCCAGAGCACAGAAGGTCATCACAAGCAAAAGTAAAAAGTTATAAGTATGCTTTGATTTTCTTGTTGTTTTTATTTGCTTTTATCACTATATATGTTTGGCACATGTCCACTGTTACTGACATTTATGGAAAAATATTTCAAGTATAAGATCGATACATAAGCCAGAGTAGATGATATTACTTAGATATTCACTGTAGAAATCTCAAGTTTCTGTTTTGCAATGAATGTAGATATCGTCTCCTGCTGCCAAGTTATTTTGTCACATATTATGCCAAAGAGCAAAGACTCAGTGCCATCAAAAATACAGAACTCCTTCATACTATGGCTGATTACATTTATATTCCAGGATGAACTTTTTTCATATATACTAAACAAACAAATACACAAAAGTGAGGGAATGTTTCAGAATGTATTACATAGCTCAAACTCTAACTTCTCAATAGTTTTATAGAACTTTAAAGTTTTTTTTCCATTATCCCATTGGTAATATTCCTACCTTTTGTGTCAAATTATGTAACAGAATGACTTTATGCCTTGTTGTGGTTGATGTATTGCTGTGCTGAAACAAAATATGTTGAAAAGCTAACCAGGTATATAAACCCTTTTACCTAGTGATATTCCTGAACCTGGGTATATCATACAGTTTTCATTAGGGTATCTTACTACTTGTTTAAGGTTGTCTTTCAGGGCAAAATATAAGAAGATTGAATCAATTTTATTAAAAATATTTCTTTACGAACTTCTGAATATTAAATACATTATTTCAAGGAACAGTGCCTTAGTATTTTCACATTTTAGTGGTTCTAACATTTTCACAATGGTTGTAGGTATGTAAATTTTTGTATTTCAATATTCTAAATAAAACCAATATTCTTGAAAAAATACATATCCACATATTTGCTAAAAATGTGCTTGCTTGCTTTATTTATTTATTTATTTAGTTAGTTAGTTTGGGGGGGCATACTGGGAATTGAACTCGGGGGCACTCAACCACTGAGCCACATTTTGTATTTTATTTAGTCACAGTGTCTTACTGAGTTGCTTAGCCCTCACTGTTGCTGAGGCTGGCTTTGAACTTGCGATCCTTCGTCCTCAGCAACCAAAGCCGTTGGGATTATGGGTGTGTGCCACCACACCTGGCTTATGATTTTTATGGGTGATAGGGATATTTCACTACTTGTATACAATGTGTAATGATCAGATCAAAGTAACTAGCATATATTCATTACCTCAGATGTAATCTTTTTTTTTTATGTTGGGTACATTCAAAATTTTAAAATATTTACGTACTTGCTATTAACCATAGTTACCTACTGTGCCATAGAAGTTATTCCTCCTATCCAGCTGTACCCCTCTACCCATTAACCATTCTCTCTCCATCTTTCCCCCACGTACTTCTCAACCTCTGATAACTCTACATTTTGCTCCTGAGGAGCATCGGTTTTAGTTTCTACACATATTTCTGGGCCTGACTTTACTGAACATAATTTTCTCTAGTTATCCATGTTGCTACAAAGTGATAGGATTTCTATTATTATTATTGTTATTATTTGTTTTACTTAGTTGTACATGACAGCAGAATGCATTTCAATTCATCGTACACTAATGGAGCACAACATTTCAATTCTCTGGTTGTACATGGTGTAGAGACGCACCATTCATGCAATCATACATGTGCCTAGGGTATTGATGACCATCTCATTCCCCCATCTTTCCTACTCCCATAACTCCTCCCTTACCTTCCCATTTGCCCAATCCAAAGTTCCTCCATTCTTCCCATTCCCTCCCCCCCACCCCCATCATAGATCAGCATCCACTTATCAGAGAAAACATTCGGCCTTTAGTTTTTTGGGATTGGTTTACTTTGCTTAGCATAATATTCTCCCACTCCATTCATTTACCTGCAAATGCCATAATTTTATTCTCTTTTAATGCTGAGTAATATTCCTTTGTTTATATATACCACAGTTTCTTCATCCATTCATCTGTTGATGTGCATGTAGGTTGGTTCCACAGTTTAGCTATTGTGAATTCAACTGCTGTAAACATTGGTGTGGCTATGTCACTGTAGTATGCTGATTTTAAATCCTTTGGGTATAGACCTAGGAGTGGGGTAGCTGGGTCAAATGTTGGTTCCATTCCAAGTTTTCTGAGGAATCTCCACACTGCTTTTCAAAGTGTTGCACCAATTTGTAGTCCCACCAGCAATGTGTGAGTATACCTTTTTCCCCACATCCTCTCCAACACTTATTACTGCTTGTATTCTTGATAACTGCCATTCTGACTGGGATGAGTTGAAGTCTTAGAGTAGTTTTCATTTACATTTCTCTAATTACTAAAGATGTTGAACACTTTTTCATATATTTATTGATGATTTGTATATCTTCTGAGAAGTGTCTGTTCAGTTAGCCCATTTAGTGAGTGGTTTTTTGTTGTTGTTGTTGTTTTTTGTATTAAGTCTTTTGAGTTCTTTATATATCCTAGAGATTAGTGCTCTATCTGATGTGTGTGTGTGGTAAAAATTTGCTCCCATACCGTAGGCTCTCTCTTCTCATTCATTGAGGATTTCATTTTTCATATGGCTAAATAATAATATTTTTTTTGTGTGTTAATTATCCATTAATCTGTTGATGAATCCCTAACTTGTTTCCATATCTTGGATATTGCAAATAATGCTTCATTAGACACAGGAGTGCAGATACCTTTTCATTATGGTGATTTCATTTTCTTTGTCTCTAAATCCAATCATAGAATTGTTGGATGATGTGGTAGTCTATTTCTGGTTTCTTGAGGAAGCTATACTGTTTCCATAATGGCTATTGCTAATTAGCATTCCCATCAGTAGTATATGAGAATTCCTTAAACTACATCCTTGCCTATATTTGATTTTTTTTTTAGAATAGTCAGTGTAACTGGGGTGAAAATGATATCTCATTGTAGTTTTGAATTGTATTTCCCTGATGATTAATGAAGTTAAGAATTTTTTCCATATACTTGTTAATTTTATATCTTCTTTTGAGAAATGCCTGTTCAAATAATTTGCCCATTATAATTGTTTTTTCTTGATGTTGAGTGGTTTGAGTCCCTTATATATTATATGTATTAATCTTTTATTGAATAAATAGTTTACCAATATTTTATTCTCATTTTATAGATCATCAATCAAGTCTGGTTTTTTTTATTGGATACATAGAAGCTTTTTTGTTTAGTATAATCCTCTTTGTCTATTTTTGCTGTTATTGCCTGTTCTTATGGGGCCATATCCCCATTTTTTTGTCTAGACTTACACCCTAAATTGATTCGCCTATGTTTTTCTCCTGGTATTTTAAATAGTTCAAGTTAAGTCTTTTCTTGGTTGTGTTGATTTTTGTATACATGGTGAGTGATAGGTCTCTAGTTCTTTCTTCTTCATGTGGATATTGAGTTTTTCCAGCATCAGTTATTAAAGAGATTGCCCTTTTCCAGTGGGTGTTCTTCTTGTCTTTGTGAAAATTCAGTTTACTATAAATTTGTCATTGTTTCTGGTTTCTCTATTCATTTGTCTCTGTGCTGGTTTTTTATGCTTGTATTATACTGTTTTGGTTACTATAGGTCTGTAAGGTTTTTTTATTTTTTTGGTTTATTTGCTTTTGCAGTACTGGGGATTGAACCCAGTGGCTCTGTACCACAGAGCTACATCCTCAATCCTTTTTATTTTTTTGAGATAGGGTCTCACTAAATTGTGAGAACCTAGAAATTGCCATTCTCCTTTTCCAACCTCTCAATTTTCTGGGATATTAATCATTCATCATATCTGGCCTGTAGTCTGCTTTGAAATCAAATATTTGTTGATGACTCCAGCTTTGTTCTTTTTGCTCAGGGTTGCTTTGGTGATTTGGGGTCTTCTGTGGCTCCATATTAATTTTAGGAGTTTTGTTTTTATTTCTTTGAAAAATATCATTGGTGTTTTGGTAGGGATAGCATTGAGTCTGTAGATTGCTTTGGGTGGTATGTATATTTTAATAATATTAATTCTTTCATTCCACATATGTGTGGTGTCTTTCCAGTTTTAAAAAAATTTTAGTTGTAGATGGACACCTTACTTTTATTTATTCATGTGGTGCTGAGGATCTAACCCAGTGCTCCACGCATTCGACGCAAGCACTCTACCATTGAGCCACAACCCAGCCCTCTTTCCAGTTTTTGTATGTTCCCTCTTCCATTTCTTTTATTGGTGCTTGATAGGTTTGTTGTTGTTGTTGTTGTTTTGTGTGTGTATGTGTGTGTGTCTGTTGAGGGGGTTCTTTCATTTCCTTAATTCAGTTTATTCCTAGGGTTGTTTACAAGTTTTTTGTTTTGGGGTAGCTATTGTAAATTAAATTACTTTCTTGGTTTCTTCTTAAGCTAGCTCATTATTGGTATGTAGAAACACTATTTTGTTTTTATATGTTAATCTTCAATCCTGCAACTATAGTGAATGAACTTGTCATTTCTAACAGTTTTTTGCTGGAGTCTTTAGATATTTCTATATTTGAAATCCTGCAAGGGTAGTTTGATTTATTGCTTTTCATTTTTTTCTTCTCTTGTATTTCTTCTCTTGCCTAATTGCTGTTACTAGAATTTCTATTACTGTATTAAATAAGAATTGTAAGAGTGGACATCCTTGTCTTGTTCCAGATCTTAAAGGAAAAAAATTTTCCTTATTCAGAGGTTTGTCATATATGGCCTTAATTGTATTGAGATATGTTCTTTCTATATCTGATTTGTTAAAAGTTTTCACCATGAATAGATGTTGAGTTTTGTCGAATGCTTTTTCTGTATCTATTAGCATGATCATATAATTTTTATCCTTCCTTTTATTGATGTAATGAATCACATTTATTGATTTGCATATGTTGAACCAACCTTGCATCCCTGGAATAAATCCCACTTGATCATAGTATATAATCTTTTTAATGTGCTGTTGGTTTCAATTTGCTAGAATTTTGTTGAACTTTTGCATCTGTATTTATTGGGGATATTGGTTTGTAATTTTCTCTTATGGTTGTTTTGTCCTTGTCTGGTT